TCCTCCTCCTCCTCCTCCTCCTCCTCATGCCTTCCTCCTCATCCTCCTCCTCCTCCTCCTCCTCCTCCTCCTCCTCCTCCTCCTCCTCCCACTCTTCCTCCCCCTCCTCCTCTTCCTCCTCCTCCTCCTCCTCCTCCTCCCTCGCTGCTCGAGCGAGCGACCAGCCGCAAAAAGCCAAGGCGCACGTGCGAGCTGTGGGCTCCCCCCCCGCCGCGCGCGCCAGCGGGCAGCACCGCGGCGGCGGGCGCGCGCCCGAGCTGGGCATGCTGTCGTAGCAGCCGGCGGCGGTGCGCTGCGCCCATGAGCGGTGCCGCGGGAGGCGGTGCCCTCTTTTTCGGGCGCTGGGAGGACTCATGTGAGGCGCCCCTCAGAAGAGGAAACGATACCCATGCGGCTACCCTTCGCCCGCTTTTCCCTTCTGTCGGGCCTCCTGGGAGGCCCTCGTCGCCAGCGCTGGATGCGCTTCGAAATGCTGGTAAGAACGCGCCCCGGGAGAGGTCCGGGGGGTAGTGGTATCGGTACCTTTTTGTCTCCCCAGTTCCAGAAATGGCCTCGCCTTCGCGGGTCGGAGGAGTTGTCGTCTCTTCCTCGGTGGAAGGCGGCGGAAGGTCGGCTGAAGTAAAACGAGGTCGCCTCCGCTGGCGGAAGCCAGCGGAAGGCCGGCGGGAAGGCGGCGGAAGTAACAGATGCGCCCCCAAGAGCTGAACACGTTTTTGGATTCAGGATTTTCGGAAATCGCCCGTGCGGAGGAGGGGGTCCTTGGAAAGGAGGCGCCGCCTTCCTCCTCGGGCGCGTGGGGGAGTCACTGGAGCGGAGGACGAGGAGGGGGACCAACGTAAACCCAAGACGTACCCACGGTGCTGCAGTGCACCCTCCCGTCCCAAGTCCCCTCCCCACGAGCTCCTTCAAGCCATACGCTCCACTGCGCGAGGCACACCCCTTGGAAGGCACGAGCCCAGGGGCCTGCGAGTCGGGCGGGGGCTCCGTTTCGAGAGGCACCGCCCGGCAGCCCGGCATCCTTCGAGCCCGCCCAGCGGCAGCCCCACTTTGGCAAGCGGCCGCCTTCCATCCGTGAAGCGGCTGCGCTCAAAAAAGGTTTCTGGCCGCAAAGCTCAGCAGAGTCTCAGGCGAGATCCAACGTCTGAAAAAGTAGCCGCCTTCTTGCCGTGTAGCCTTAGTTCGGGCCTGTCCCCCTACAGGGGGATTTTGGGCGAAAAATTAGGAATAGTCAAGACATGTTCAAACAATGCTTATACATACTCAAAATCGTCCCCGGACTATGTTTTAACCATTTTTGAATATTCACCCTGTAGTGGGACAGGCCCGACCTACGTGTAACCGTTGTACTCCTTTACGCACGTGTGTTTTGTGGAAGTCTCGGGCGAGAAGCTTGTTCTGAGAACGGGCCGGCCTCCACCCGCGTAACCTCTGGAAGCTTTTGAGATGAATGTGCGCGGCGCTCAGGCGAGAGCCATATTTTGTAAACAACCCACCATCCATGTGCGTAATTGTGGGGCGTTCTTAGAAGGCCGATGCGTGCTGCGCAGAGGCGACACCCCTGTTGTGTTAGCACCGTGGGTGTAGTTATTGGGAGCTTCTGAGGCACAGGCACGCGGCGCTGAGGCGAGAGCCGCATTAAAGACACACCCACACGCGCTCTCCATCCGTGAAGTTGTTGCAACATCTGGCGCTTCAGGATCACAAGTGGTGAGGAAGTCTCAGGCGATGTGCCCAGCCCGCCCTCATTCTCGAAACGTCTTTGGATGCGGCAGGTGCGAGCTGCTTATCTGGAACATGGATGGGGGAGAAAGAGACGGAGGTGTTTGTCAGATCGCCCCCCGTGTCACTGGCTTAAGTAATATGGCACTGCCAGTCGGCAACGGCCTCGCAAGAATGCTTGACCTTGCTCAGCTGCTCCAAAGTGAGAGCGCTATCCTCACCAAAACCGTTCTGGAAATCGCGCAGGAGGAACTCCCCCTTCTCCCCGCCCCCCCCCCTCGTCCTGCCTCCCCCCCTCTTCCCCCCCTCTTCTTCTGACCCCTCTTCCCCCCCTGTTCGTCCCTCCTCCCTCCCTCCTTGTTGTTCTCCCTCTCCTCCTCCCTCCCTTCCCCTCCTTCGGCCCTCTGCCCCTTCCCTCCTCCCTCCCCCCCCATAGCCCGCCGCAGGCGCCGCCCGCGCGGCGGGGCCGGGCTGCTGCCACTACCGGCGCCGCTGCCGGATCGTGGCGCCCTGCTGCGGGGAGGCCTCGCGGCGTCCTTCCCGCCCCCCCTCGGGAGGGGAGGCAAAGCACAGAGTTTTGTTGGTCTGCGGGGCGAGAGCGAACCTCTTCCGATAAAAGCTGGGCGGGCTACGCACAGCTCTAATTGGGGAGACAGGGCACAGGCGGGCGGGCAAGGAGGCAGGCACACAGGCACAGCAGCTGTCGGATCCCGGGCAGAGGCGGAGCGGATGAGAGAGGGGAGGGGACGAGGAGCAGCCAGGAGGTCGGAGGGAGGGGGCTGAACCGAGCGGTCATTCATTGTCCCTGGGTGCGTGGCTGAAGTGGAATTCCGCGATGCGGAGTCTTGTTGTTGTTTGTTGTGTGTTGTTTGTTGCTGTCGTCGTCCCACCCGCGACCCGCCCCGCGACCCACCCGCGACCCACCCCGCGACCCACCCGCGACCCACCCGCGACCCACCCCACGACCAACCCGCGACCCACCCGCGACCCACCCCGCGACCCACCCAAAATTTTCGGCGCCTGCGGCGGGTTTCTTTTGCATTCGTTCCAGGTGGAGAACTTGCGACCCGCCCGCAACCCAAACCACGCCCGCGACCCACCCGCGACCACCCGCGACCCACCCGCGACCCACCCCGCGACCCACCCAAAATTTTCGGCGCCTGCGGCGGGTTTCTTTTGTATTCGTTCCACGTGGAGAACCTGCGACCCACCCGCGACCCAAACCGCGTTCAGTGTACAAACAAAAATTTCCGGCGCCTGCGGCGGGCTGTTTTTGAATTCCTTCCAGGTGGAGGTGGAGAGCCCGCGACCCACCCGCGACCCCAACTACGTTCATTGCACAAGCCCGCGACCCACCCACCGGCGCGCGCGCACGCTCCGCGCAGCAGGGGGGGAGGAGCAGGGCGAGGAGCAGGAGGAGGAAGACGACGACGACGACGACGACGACGACGACGACGACGACGACGACGACGGCGACGAATACGAGGACGAAGAGGAGGCCGACGACGAGGGCGAGGAGGAAAAGGAGGGGGGGACGGAGGGGGACAACGAGACAACGAGAAAGGAGGGAGGAGGAGGGGCAGGAGGAGGAGGACGACGACGACGGAAAGGAGGAGGGGGAGGATCGGGATGGGGGAGGAGGAGGAGGAGGAGGAGGGGGGGGGAGGAGGAGGAGGAGGAAAAGGAAAAAGAGGACGAGGAGGAGGAGGAGGAGCAGGAGGCGGACGACGACGACGACGACGATGAGGACGATGACGCGGACGGGGAAGAGGAGGAGGAGGAGGAGCAGGAGGAGGAGGAGCAGGAGCAGGAGCAGGAGGAGAAAAAGGAGGAGGAGGGCGCCATCGACAGGGAAGGTGAGGGCCAGGAGGTCCGCTGGCTCGACGCCCGCCGCGTCGCCCGCCCCCGCCCCCCAACTCTTATCCGCAATTGCGGGGTGCTACGTATGGCGAATGATATGGAGAACCCTGGGGCGCGAGTCCACTGATGTGCGTGTGTGTGTGTGTGTGTGTGTGTGTCCCTGAGCCCCATTCCTCCTCCTGCTTCTCCTCCATCCTCTCCTCCATCCTCTCCTCCTCCTCCTCCTCCTCCTCCTCCTCCTCCTCCTGCTACTCCTCCTCCTTCTCCTCCTCCTCCTCATCATCATCATCCCCCTCCTCCTCAGCTGCTCGACAATCGCTCGATATCAGTACTATCTCCGCCCCTCTTTCCCCGACGGCGCCCTGAGAGCGGCGAGCCCCCCATCCGCGTACTGCTTCCTGTTGCGCAGCAGGAGTGGTGCTGGCCGTCCTCTCCCCTGCGCACTTTCGATCCGAACGTTCTCGGCCCTTCCAAACAGATCCCTGGGGTCCGACGCCCCCCAACAGAAATCGCAGCAGGCGGTTTTCGTTGCCGTTCTCGGCCTCTGGGGGCCCTCGCCAGGCTTCGGGAGCGTCAACAACACGACTCGGGACGAGAGACCGGCCCTATAGAGACGTGGTCCGGACCTCCGGGGCCCACGCATCGAACAATCTGGGGGCCCTCGCCAGGCTTCGGGAGCGGCAACAACACGACTCGGGACGAGAGGCCGGCCCTATATAGAGAAGTGATCCGGACCTCCTGGGTCCACGTATCGAGCAAATTGGAGCAGCTGGATGTCTGGGGTTGCCCTCCTGCTGCAGCTTTGGCCGCATTTCAGGATCGGCGCTCTTCTCCCGTCGTTCCGGGCGACGCTCTCGCCCCAGCGCGGGCCACTGTTCTTGAACCATGTCCTTCCTCCTCGTTGTCGCCCCGTTTCTTTCCCCTTCTCCGCATTCCCCCACTCCTGTTCCTGCTGCCTCTGTTCGTCCTCTTCTCCTTCCTCATCCTCCGCTTGTTCCTCCCTCACATCCCCCAGCTCATCTGCCACCTCCTCAAAATTCCCCCTATGATAGCGCATAACACTATGGTACCCTTTTGGGGGTTCTAGGTCAGCTCTGTCACCCGTCGGCGGATAGGGTAAGCATTAGCACAATGGGAGGGGATAGGTTGGAGTGTTCGGATGTCAGGAATGGCGCGAACGCGCCTAGCTTGTCCTCCTCCTCCTCCTCCTGCTCCCCCTCCTCGTCCGTAACCGTTTTGGCTCAAGCTGGAAACCTTGGCCAGGGGCGTCCAACTTGGACAAAGCCGACGGGGCGGCTCGAGTGTTCCAGACGACCGACCCGGTCAGCTCTCGGGGGTTGCCACAGGCCCGCCTGCTGGCAGCTCTTATCGGCCACCAGCTGCACTTCCTGTCGCGCCGTGCTTCCCCCCATCAGACCAGCATGGCCACTGGCGCTCCCGCTGCTGCCATTTCTGCTTCTCAGCTGGATCGTCTGGCTGCTCCCCCGACGTTCGCTTCCCAGGACCCCGCTCACACCACAGGGCGCAGCAAGGGCGGCAAGGGTGGCTTCATCCCGCGCAGGCGGACTGTTATGGCTGGCTCTGATGTTACGACATAAGCGACGAGGAAGATGCCTGGACCAATGACGACTACTTGCGCCAGATCTGCAGGGACGAGTTCGACTCCATGCGCGCCTCATTCACCGAGACCGTGGGAGCTGCAGTTGGCAAAACGGTGGCCAACAGCCACGACGCCCTCTGTCTCAGGACGCAGGTCACGGCCCAGTCCACCTCCATGGACCAGCAGCAGGAGCAGGCTGCTATTCGCCCGCAGGTCGATGACCTCTCACGCCGGCTCCAAGCCAGACTGGACGCGCAAACCGGCGCCATCCACGAGCAGGGCGCAAACCGGTGCCATCCACGAGCAGGGAAACCGCCTCGACCATCACGGCGCCGAGTGGGTGCGCATGCGGTCTGAGCTCGACGAGTTTCACAAGTTTCCTGCTGTTGCTGACCAGCGCCCTGTGGCTCCTGTGGCGGTCCCCAACGGCTTCCACCGCGACCCTGGCGACACCGGCCTGGTGGCCGTGGCCCAGCGCGCGACTACGCGCGAGGCCGCCTCCAAGGCTATGTCCGACTACCTCTCCAAGCTCTCCTCCACGCCCGAGGAGTGCATGACTGAGGCGCGTGGCCAGGCCCCCACCGAGCGCTTCGAAATGCAGCTCCACGGCATGGTCGGCCAAGCCGCGAGGAAGGTATTCCGCCCCCTCCCGAACCTCAAGCAAGGCGGCTCCTGGCGCGAGTTCACCGCCGCGGCCCCTGGCTCCGACGCAGGTGCGCGCTTGCCCCGACAAGCTCCCCGAGCAGGTCAAGACGGGGTCATCTTGCGCCGCTGCCGCGCGGCCGTCGCCGACGCCATTCCTGGCAATATCGAGCGCTACAGCGACCGCGAGAGGGGCATCCTCTCCATCGGCTGGGACAGGGTGCTTCGTGTGGAAGTGCGCCCTGGGGATTATCCTTCTTCTCTGTTCTGGAACCCTGACCGCCTCTCCAAGCACGGGCACTCCAAGGACGCCCTGGCGCAGGCGACCGCCGCCATCGCGGCCCCGCAAGAGCCTTCCAATCGGCGTCTTCGCCGCAGCGAGCTTCTTCGAGTGCGCCCGCCCACCCTTGGGCCAGGCGGCTTCGCCGCTGCGTTTCTGCGCGCGGAACTGTCTGGCTTTGTTCCGAGCTGCTGGTGGGAAGGCCAGCCTGAAAAAGAGTTATCTGTCTCGACTGGTTCGTAGCTGCAGTGTGATTTCTTTGCGAGAAGTTCACCAAGATGAAATTCAGCTTCGTCGGCGCGCGTCAGCTGCCCCCCCCGACGCCCGGATCTTCGCCACTGTCTGTGGTGATGACCGTTCGGGCCGCGCGCGCGGGGGCGCGGCCATCCTTTTTCCTCGACTCGCCGCGGCAGCTGGAGACCCTGTTCAGCCCGAACTGGCGGCTCTCGTGCCCAGGCGCGCCGTTCTTCTCTGGGTGGCTGCGGGCCCGCGGTCGCCATGCACTGCGAGCGCGCGCGACCGCGACTCGACGGCGGCGGAGGTGCGCTCCGCGGCGTCTGCCATCGGCGCGGAGGCGGCCGCGGCCGCGGCCCCTCCCCCATGAGCGCCTGGCAGCGGTCCACGGGGACTCCAACTTCTCGAGCAAGGATGCGCTCACCCTGGGCGCGCCGACGGCCTCGGCGCCCCGCGCCGCCCGCCGCCGTCGCGGGCGGGCTGCGCTGCGGAAGCAGGTGCTGCTCGAGATGGTGGAGAGACGGAGTCGCTGCCGACGAGCTTCGAGCGCGCCGCGGATCGCGCCGCCGTCATCGATCGGGTCTTCGTCTCCTCGCCGAGCTGGCAGGTCCGCCAGCCGCGCGCACCCCCTCGGCGACGGCGGGGGCGGCCGCCGAGGCCGCCTCGCTGCCGTCGCCTCTCTCGCCCCTCGCGCCGTTCGCCCCCCTGCCCAGCGCTCGGCGCCTGATGCCGTTTGTCAGGATCCCAGCTTTCGAGCTCGTCTGCGCGGTCTGGTCGAGCCGGTGGACTGGCTGGCCAGCTGGTCTTCTTCCCGCCTGGGCGGCGCAGAGGGTCGCTGCGCATCGCGGGGGCGGAGGCCAGGGGCCTCCTCTCCAGGCAGGGGCCGCTCTGCCCCCGGGCCCTCCTCCGAGTGGCCCGCATGATGGCGCGCGTGACCTGGAGGCAGGATTCCCGACTCGCCAGCCGCGTGCTGGAGCCCAGCCCCGCGGGCGCCGACTGCCCGGCGGTGCCCCGGGGCCCGAGGTCCGCCCGAGGCGCCCGCCGTCCCTCGGGCAGCGGAGGCCCGCGGGGGCCCGGCGCGAGGCACCTCCTCCTCCTCCTCCTCCTCCTCCTCCTCCCTCCTCCAAGGGGCGAGGGGCTTCACGGCAGCTGCGGTCTCAGCTCCGCGCCCTCGGGCGGAAAGCAGAGCTGCGGTCGCCGACAGGAGAGCGCAGGTCTCAGTCGTCACTTCGCCGCCCCGAGGGCGCCCCGGCAGCTGGCCCCCCGCGATCGGTGGGAAGCGCCTGCTGCGCACTAGCGCCCTGTCGTCTCGCGAAGGCCGTGGGATGAGAGAGCCCTCTCTCCGTGCGCTCCTCGGTGGCTGCCGCCGATCGCCCACGCGCATCGTCCGCCGCCCGCCCTCCGCGCGACGAGGGGGGCGGTGCGTTCTGCTCGTGGTTCGGCCCCTCGGGTCGACGGATTACTGCGCGCCGCCCGGACTGCTGACGAGTGCGGCGAGACTTGTGGAAGTCGATGAATGGAGAGGAAGCATGCTGCCAAATAATTTCCAGATGTCCACAAGATGTTTCAAGCATGTTTTTTTAATGTGAAAAGCATATTTGAAACATTGCTAGAACATGTTTTACACAGTTTAAACACATGTGTGGCTCAATGGTCGGATTGTGAGAGTGCCCGTTGGCATGGCATCCACAAGGCGAGACGATCTCAATTGACGCCGTGGACTGGGCGCATGCTCGGCAGGCGCCCCGCGGCGATGCGTCGGCGGCGCTGCAGGCGCTCCTGGCCCGGAACTTGCTCGGGGAGAGGGCACTCGTTCTGCCGACCGGGTCGGGGTGCTTGGGCCGCGCGACGCCGGCGTCAAGCTGCTCGCTTTCGTCAAGTCGGGCACGTCCCTCTGCGGGAGGAATGTTCAAAAATAGTAAATAGTCATAGCGTAGTCTGGGGGCGATGTGTTGATGTTGCTGACCATCTTGGGTTCTGTTTTGATGATGCTTCATTTTTTGGTCTAAAACCCCCATGTAGGAGGACGCGCCGATCTAATGCTTTCGTCGGCGATAAGTCGCGCCATCTTGCCCGCGCTGCAGGTCGCCGCCCCCTCCCGCGCCAGCGGGGCTCCGTACTTCGACGCAACCTCTGGTCTCGACGCCCCTGAGCTCGATGCTCGTGCTCGACAGCTGCCGCTGACGCCGCCGCTCTCTCGGGATCCCCCCCCCTCGTTCCCCCTGGACTTCCGCCGGGCCTTCCCGCCCCTGGGCCAGGAGCTAGTGTTTTTCATCCTTCGGCACCTCGGGGCCCCAGAGCCCTTCGTCACGTCTGCGAACTCCGCAGTCCTGGAGATTGACGCCAACACCGATATCGGCGGTGTGCCTCCACCGAGGGAAGAAAATTCCGATCTCGGTGATGGTGGTAGTTAAAGTCTGGCTTCCAAGTGGCCGAAGTATTACCACCAATACCGAAGTCTGGAATCATCTTCCCCCTGTGGAGACACCCCCCAGTGTTCGTGCTGATGCCCATGTCCAGGCCTCCAAGGAACTTCCCGCGCGCCGCGTTCGAGGGCCCAGCCCTGTCGAGCGGGGGTTTGTCTCGATTCTTTTTCCCCCCCCGCTCCCTCCCTCTCCTCCTCCTCCTCCTCCTCCTCCTCCTCCTCCTCCTCCTCCTCCTGCTCCTGCTCCTCCTCCTCCTCCTCGTCCTCCTCCTCCTCCTCCCGCTCCTCCTCCTCCTCCTCCTCCTCTCCTCCTCCTCCTCCTCCTCCTCCTCCTCCTCCTCCCCCTCCTCCTCCTCCTCCTCCTCCTCCTCCTCCTCCTCCTCCCTCCTCCTCCTCCTCCTCCTCCTGCATCGTCCGAGGCCGCGGGCTCTGCGGGGCCCCTGTGCGCCATGGCGTCGGCGGCCTCTCTGCGGCGCCCTGCTCACGCCGTCGAGGGCCCCAGGCGTGGGTGGCCTCGTGCCGGCCTGCGCGGGCGACGCCGGCGGCGTCGCCGCGCGCGTCGCCGGCCTCTCGCAGGGCGTCCGCGCAGTGAGCCGTTCTGGCCCGCCTGGGTCACAAGGCCCCCACGCGCCTCGTGGACGCGCTCTCGGGGCCCTACGCGCGTTCGTCGACTAGACGTAACAGTGGCCCTTCGCCGGAGTGACCTTCGGTGCGCGCTCACTGGGTTCCCCCGATCGCCGCGCTCGTTGCGATATTCGCGTCTTGCGCGCTTGCGTTTGGCCTCCTCGCGCCCCCAAAAAAGCCGCGCCACCAAAGGTCACTCTTGCCCAGGGTCACTCTTACGTGCAGCCGAGTTCGGCCCACCTCTGTTGCGCGCGCGCTGCATCTACGTGGTCGTAGGTTGCGCAGTGTCGGCAGCTCCCGACGGAAACGCGACGACTGGAACAGCCTGTCCTTACGCACAAGTGTTTCGCACCGCGCTGGGAGACTTTTCGCTGTCAGCGTGGTTTCAATTTGAATGCTGGGGTGGGCCTCGCATCGTTTGCTGGGGTTGAATCTGCGCGGCGATGCTCGCGCGATCTGCTCTGGTCACCCTCCTCGAGCACGCGGAGCTGCTGGAGCGCCTGCGCCGCTTTGCCCTCGACCACCCCGCAGGGCGCGCGCTCGGCACGCTCGCCTCCAAGGCTCTCTACCTCGACCTCTGGAAGTCTGGGCCCTTCGTGGCGACCCCCGCTGCCGCCGGCGCTGGCGACGCTCTGCATCCCCTGGCGTCTGAGGCGGTGCGCAGCGCGCTCGCCGACGCTGCCCGTCGGCGCTCTCGACCCAGGCGCGCGACTCACCCGGCGCTTCGTCGTCATGCCCGCCAAGCAGCACCTCTTCAACAGTTCTTCCCGACACGGCTGCGCAAGCCGCTACCTCGCCGCGGCGATGCGGTTTCTCAGATCGCTTGGGCGGATGTGGGCAACGCTCTTCTTCGCTGGTCCGTGCTCTTGGGCAGGGGCCGCCATGCGTGCGCGGACTGATGGTCGGCTCGCGTCTGCAATGATTGCCCACCATCCTGGACTTCGGTGCCGTGCATGTGGCTGCGGCGAGGGACACGCTGCGACACGATTGCCGCTGCCGTCGTCTCCGTGCTGCGCCGCGTGCCGCGCTGGCTCGTCCTTTCTGCCGGTTTTGGCTCGGTCGGGGCTCGTGCCGCACTCGCGGCCAGCGCGCGGCTTCCTGGCTGCTGCGCGCTCGAGGCACCACGCCCCGAAGACGTTCGACGACTGGCCGCTCGCCGACGAACCGACGTCCTTACCGCGCGTGGGCGGGCCTTCGCTCCGTGCGCATGGCCCAGCCGAGACCGCGCACTCGGCTGGAGCGCTGGGTCGTGCAGCCGCGGCCAGCTTCGTCGACCTGCCCGACTTCTTCGACAGAGACGGCCTCCCCGACGACGACATCCTGCCGCTGCGCGCCCGCCCCCTTCGGACGCGCTCTTCGACTCCGTTCCGCTCTGCGTCGCCCGCTGGCCCTGCGCTGCGCCCGACTCCTGCTGGGTCCTCGCCGCAATCTTGGGCACTTTGCTGTCGTCGCCGTGCCCGTGGACGTTCCCGAGTCCTTCGTCGATCATGCGCCGCCTCTCGGGGATTTGCCGACTTCGAGATTGTCTCCGCCTTCTCAGGCTGATATCTCATCGTCCGCGGGCTCGGTAGAGGTAGCGGCCACAGGCGCACCTCCCATCTCTCGTCCTTGTCCGCTCCCTTCGAACTCTGCTGTCGCTGATGCACTGCCCTCCTCTCCTCCCTCTTCCCTTGACGCAGTATCTTCGTCGCTCCCAGTGCCGAGCTTCAGCCAATGCCGTTTCACGGGTATGTCGGATACGTGTGGCTGTTCGCCAGTAGGGAAAGATGTTTGGAGCGAGTCTACGCCCCCGGGTCTGAAGCACGGCGTAGGGGCTCGTCCCGTGTCGTCCACGCTCCGCTTGCTCCTCCCCGTCCTCCGATCGCCACTGCTCTTGTTGCTGCCGGCTCCTCCCTGCTCGTCCTCCTCTGGACACGTGCCCTTCGCTTCCTCGCCTCGCTTCCCTCCGCGCCGTGCATTGAAAGCACGGCTCGGCGTGCGCCCATCGCCGACTGTGGCCTGGCGGGCAGCAGGCAGGGCCCCGCAGCCTCCCGCTCGGGTCTTTGGCCGTGGTTGTTGACGACATCACCCCTCTTGCGTTGGGCGCCTGCTCCTCCTCCTCCTTCTCCTCCTCTTCCGCCTCCTCCTCCTCCTCCTCTCACTTCTTCTCTCCCTTGATCCTCCTCCTGCCTGTCCTTCCCTTCTCGTGGTCCTCCTCCTTCTCATAATCAACGTCCCTCGTCGTCCTCGTCCTCCCTCCTCGTAGTCCTCCTCCTCCTCCTCCTCCTCCTTCTCCTCCTCCTCTTCCTCTTCCTCTTCCTCTTCCTCTTCCTCTGCCTCCCCCTGCTCGTCCCTCCTGTTCGTCCTCCTCCTGTCTCTCACTCCTCATTCTCTCCTCCTCGTCACCTTCCCAATCATCATCGACGTTATCCCCCCTGCTGCCTCCACTGCGGCTTCGGCACCTTCAGCGACCCCATCGTTACCACCGTCATGGACATCTTCATCGCCGTAATCCAATCATCGCCCATGACAGTATTGATCAGCGCTGCCATCATCGCCATTGCGAATCACACCCACCACAACCACAATCATCACCACCATCACAACCATCATCATCAGCAGCATCCTCATCATGATCGAAATCAACACCACGATCAGCCTCAGCATCACCATCGTAAGCTTCACCATCATCATCATCATCATCATCATCATCATCATCATCATCATCACCACCATCGCCACCATAATCCTCATCGCCATCACCATCATCAGCATCATCGTCCTTATCGGCATCGTCATTGTCATCGTCATCATCGTCCTCTTCGTCACCATCATCGTCGCCATCATCATCTGCATCGCCACACTCATCCTCACCGCCGTCATCATCCTCATCATCATCATCCTCATCATCATCATCGTCCTCATCGCCATCGTCATTGTCATCGTCATCCTCCGCCTTTTCATCATTTGCACCATCACCATCGTCCTCACCGCCATCGTCATTGTCATCGTCATCCTCCTCATTTTCATCATCATCATCATCAGCATCATCATCAACATCATCATTATCGTTTTCATGATCATCGCCATCATTATCATCATAGTCGTCGTCGTCGTCGCCGGCATCATCATCATCAGCAGCAGCAGCATCATCATCATCACCATCCTCACCATCACCATCGTCATCGTCGTTACCATCGTGACCATCGCCCCCCCCGCCCGCGAGCATCTCTTGCCACCGCCGCCCTGGCGTTGGCCCGCTTGGCGGCCCAGCGTGTCGATGCACTGATACCAGAATGTGAAACGGAACTGTGAAGAAGTCTCGCCAGCCGCGCGCGGTCAGGCGCGAGTCAAGACCCGCCGTTTCTCTCGACCGGTGTATCTTCTCCTCTCCTCTAGGAGAAGGATGTGGCTCCGGGTCGACGAGGGCGCGGCAGAGATGAGTGTCACGCCTCACGGGGTGAACAAGCTGTTTACCGCGTGAGTTGTGCTCGCTCACCTCGTCAGGCTGCCAGTATCAGTATGTTCAGCGGACAGCCAGGCATGGAGCTGTATACAGTCGGGAACTTTGGGGTAGCGCGTCGCTCCGCCGGTTCTGGCCCACCGCGCTTCGGAGCGACACGCTATCACTTCACAGTCCCCGACCGTCCACGTCCCGAACCTGTCCGAGCCTCCTGCCTCGCGGAGCGGAGCGACACGCTATCCGCTCGCAGGGCCTAGCGTGTCGCCAGGGCCGCCAGGACGACACACCAATCATCAGGAGGGGAGAAACCACACAGACACAATGAATCCTCGATTCTCCAGAAAATATTAGAAAATATGGGAAGTGGGGGGGAAGGCAGAAACCCGGAAAATATGGGAAAATATGGGGAATCCGGTCATGGAATCCGGTCATTTGTGTATATTTATTTGTGTGTCCCAGTTCCCCTTCAAACCAGAAGTTCCCGACCGTATCTACGGTTCGGAGCGTCTGCTGCGGCTCGCGGCACGGAGGGGGCGGCGGTGCGGCTCGCCGCGCAGGGCGCCCCCGAGCACTGCCAGGGGCCACTGGCGAGCTGCCAGGCACGGCGGACCCACCGACCGAGGCCTGGGAGGGCGCCGGCGGCGAGGAGGGTCCTCGGGCCAGCGCGCCTCAAGGGGCATGCTGGGGCGCACCAGGCGCCACGAGGGAGCGGACGCACGCGCGCGCGCTGGTGGCGCTGCGCAGCGCGGTGCTCACCCCAGGGCTTGGCTGCTGCCGGGCGCGGCCGACTCGCGATTCTGCGTCCGTGGTCCTGGGGACGACGACGACGACGACGACGACGACGATGACGACGAGGACGACGACGACGACGACGACGACGACGACGACGACGATGACGACGAGGACGACGTCCTTGTGGCCATGTGTTCGACCGTACTTCCCCGCGGCGCAGGCTCTGTCCGTGTCGCCCCCCATTTGGTTATGAGCCACGTCTTTCCAGATACAGCGGGCCGCGTCGCTCACGAGGCATCCAAAGGCTAGCCCCGCTGCCCTGCAGTGCTGGCAGTGCCGCTCCATATGTTTCCACGGTCAGGCGAATTAGGGGTGCTTCTTTTGGAGTGTGTCCTACCTGCCTCTCCCTCATCCTGTTCTTCCTCCTCCTCCTTCTCTCCTCGTGCTGCTGCTGGTGGGTGGCGCATGAGCCATCGCATGCACGTGTCGCTGGAGAAAGACGCTTGTCGATTCGGTTGTTCGCGTTAGATTGACTCCATCGCCCACTACCTGGAGCGTGAGAGGATTACGCACTTCTCGGCTCTCCCGAGAGCATGGGTCCGTGTTGATCATGTTCATCGGCTTGGCTTGGGAGAGGACTACTCGCCAAAGGGCATTGACTCGCTATCGATGATCGTCTTGCGCCTCGTCCTGAGCTGCTACATTTAATCGGAGGGCAGAACCTCCCACGACCACAACTACGACATCCATAACAAGAGTTGTGCGGCCTCGCTGGACAGGCTCAACATCTGAACTCACCCACCGCCCCGCGCCGCCCCGCGGACGTGGAGTACCCTCCTCTGTCGCACTGCTGCTCCACCTTCTCTTCGCTGCTCCCCTCTCCTCGCTCTCCTGATTGTTCTCCTTGTTCTGGTCTTCGTCTTCGGCACGACCTGCAGGAGCACAAGGAATCGTCCTTGTCATCATCGCGGTCGGCGTCGGCGTCCTCCTCCTCCTCTATCTCCTCCTACTCCTGCCCCTCCTCCTCCTCCTCCTCCTCCTCCTCCTCCTCCTCCTCCTCCTCTTCCTCCTCATCCTCCTCCTCCTCATCCCCCTCCTGCTCGTCCCCCTTTCTTTTTCTCCTGGTGTAGGTCTTCTGGTGCCGGCGCTGCCACGACGAGGCCGCGCGGGAAAGTGGCTGGGCGAGGGTTATGGAGCAGGAGGAGCAGGAGCAGGATGAGTATGAGAAGGAAGAGGAGATGGGTAAGGGGCTCGGGGTACGATCAGGAGGAGGAAGGGAGGGGAATTACGAGGAGGAGGGGGAGGAGGCGGGGGAAAAGTGCGGGGGGGGGGGGTAGGATGATGATGATAGGGATGATAATGATGATGATGATGATGATGATGATGATGATGATGATGATGATGATGATGATGATGATGATGATGATGATGATGATGCTGATGATGCTGATGATGATGATGATGATGATGCTGCCGATGATGATGATGATGCTGATGCTGAGGATGATGATGATGATGATGATGTTGATGATGATGATGCTGATGATGATGGTGGCGGTGGTGATGATGATGATGCTGATGATGATGGTGATGATGATGATGATGGCGATGGTGATGAGGATGCAGAGCAAGAAGAGAAGACGGAGGAGGAGGAGGAGGGGGAGGAGGACGAGCATGATGAGGAGGAGGTGGGGAGAAAGTTGGGGCATAATGGATGGGGGAGGTATGACCTCTTCCTCCCCCTATCCTCCTGTGATTTACCTACGAGATCCTTAGAGGCAAATCGTAGGGAGGAGGGTGAGGTATGTGGAGGAGAGGAAAACAGATAATGATAAGGCGGCCTCGCGTAGTACGGCGTCATATCGAGTTCGCACACGCTAGGAAACCCCACCAGCCCCGGGCGCCGCTCGCTTCGCTGTTTTCCCCTTTGCTTCGGCGCAGCCCGCCTTAGCTTGCACGGCGTTCGACTCGTCTTCGCGCGTCCGCGTACGAAAAAGTAACCCCACAAGCCCATCCAAAAACGATGCCCAGACGAGTTTCCCTGATCAAGGATGTGGAGGAGCATGCAGTGGAATAAAGGGTTGGGTAAGACGTCATGCCCAAGGAGGGGAGGATGGAGAAGGGATCGGAGGAAGAGGAGCAGGGAGGGGGATGGGGAGGAGGGAGGAGGAGGGTGGAGGAACATGCGGATTAGGAAGAGGAGGAGGAGGAGGAGAAGGAGGAGGAGTAGGAGGAAGAAGGGGAGGAGGAGGAGGAGGAGGAGGAGGAGGAGGAGGAGGAGGAGAAGAAAGAACGCCAAACCCCTCGCCGAAGTGAAGGACGGGGGGTTGGAAGAGGAAGCGCTCTAAGCCACTCACGCCCTCAAGGGCCGATAGGATTTAGTGAGGGCGTTCTTTGACGCGTCGACCAAAACAGAAACATGTGCTTCTATAAACGCCCAAGCTCTGCTGCCAGCACTGCGCCATGTTCGGGTGCGCCTGAACATGCTTGCGCTGATTGGTAATGTGCAAGAGCTCTGGCGAATTTGCGTGGCCGATGGGGAAATCACATATCTTGACGGAAGGCAGGTGTTTGGAATCTCGCAGGGGTGTCCGCTGTCGCCACTTCTTCTCATCATGTTGATGACCGTGGTTTTGCCAGACGCCGTGACCAATCTGAGCGAGCATGACAACGTAGATGTAGTTGCTGTGAGTTGTCGCTGTTGGTGTGCACGTCGGCGACACGATGCTTATTGGGAGAAGCCAAGCTTGCTTACATCATCTTTTTAACGACATCACGCTGGCGTGGCTCAAGTTGGGATGGAACTACACTGGGACAAGTTCCAGATTATTCCAATAAGTAGCGGCGGGTCGTTCATCATGCCTCTTGGGGAACTTGTTCCTGACAAGCACCTCATGACATACTTGGGCTCCGCTGTATGCAATAGTTGCCAAGTGGGTCCCGCATGCAACGAAATGGGAAGGGGCATCATGGGCAGAATTGTTCAAAACAAACAGGGCATGGACACACACTGCTTTGAGCACGCGGCAAAGCAATATCTTTGTCCGAGCACTGGTGACGTCTAAGGACGTTTGTTCATTAAGCTTGGCGTGAATACGCAACGTTGGAAATGTAAGGTTGGAATAATTTCAAGCCTGGCGCCTACGAAACAATCTACATATACCCGTCGCCTTTCTTATGCGAGTGTGTAATAGCAAGTTGTAGGGGAAACGCAGTCCAGCGTTCAACTTCTACAACCGCATATAGTACTACTTGGCAAAGTTGGCTGGGCTACAAATGCAGACGCTAATGGACGACTCACTTTTACAGATCAGCCGCGTTCGAGCAGTCGCGGATGCGCATCCGAGGGAGAAAGGCATACCCAAACACGAACGGAGGAAATGACTACACAAATTGTTGGTTGCTCATCCTGGCCTGGAGCACACATGGTTGCAGCCCCTGCAGGACTCCATCGAGTGGCGAACGG